GAAAATTCTATTGGAACAAGAGATTATAAGCAGGAAGATCTTGAATCCGATGAATATCATCCAAAGAAAGCTCTCTCTCTAGCTGATTCCGAGTCGCTTGTAATACTTCCTGATAAACACACACATATATATACACACAATAATCAATTTTCAAGAACTAATTAGCAAATGGTATAGAAAAGAGGAGGAAGATAGGTTAAATTGTCAATTATACATACATTGAATTCCATGTAAGAAGCGTGCATCGCAAGCCACTGAGCATCCATCATCGCGAAAGCTATACAATATAGTACATCGAAGGCCTTGTCGTCCTCTGTGATTTTTTCATATTGATTACTTAGCGATTATCATACACTACTATCTTTCTAGAAATCAATTTTTATCAAGTGAGAAGATCATAGTATTATATACTACCCTCTAATAGTTTGAGGAAATTCACCCCTGGAAGACATTTCGGCTTTGCTGCACAAGAACAAAACGAAAAATTCAAAGCTTTGAAATCAAACTAAATTGTATGAGAATATAATATAGCTACTTGTAGACATGAGATATATAGAAATACAGAAATTTAAAGATGGTAAAAAGTAGTAAAGGGTAAAGAAAACGTACGATTATTTTGTAAATCGAGCATTTGGATCAACATGAAGGAGATGTTGATTCCGGCCACCGCAAAAGGGTACTCCCACTGTGCCCGGTCGCCTCTCTGTTTGAGTAATAGTCTCCGGAAACAAACCTTCACATTTTTTTTTATTAACACACTTTCAATTTCTTGGAGCAAATAAGTTCCAAAAAATATGAGCAAGCAACTACTGTATAGATCAATATGGTTTAGTGACTAGTTACCGGATAAGTTCTCGCGGAAAATAGCAAATTCTCTAGAGCGATAAATCCACAACCCCTACAAACAAAAATGTTAACGAAAAATAAATGAACGCTAAGTATCTTCACTTAAAATGTTTCTACATTTTTTGGCAATACTTTTGGTATTGATCAAATTGTACCTGAAATCGGTAGATGGATTGGGACCTTGCCATCCCATTTCTTTCCATTGTTCTGTAACTAAACCTGTGAGACTAACATTCGGAAATGCGGCATTCCACAATGCTTTAAGTGATTCCTGCCATTAATCGCGCAAAATATTCATAAAATGCTTATTACCAAAAAACAAGATATTTTGTGTTGTTGTTCGACCACCGTGAAACCTCTTTACCTGATGATCAGGACGTGTCTCGTCGAAAGGTACAAGCAAACGATCTTGCAACCTTTGAAGTCTTTCCTCCTTTGATGATTGATTACAAATCCAAAATGTCACAAACTCTTTTAACGTCTTAATCTTGTCGTATGAAACTTGTGAAGATTATACAAACCTGAAGAGGAGACAAAGTGTAGTCAATTAACTTGTCTTGACGTCTATTGGAGCGTGTGAAGAGCCCTCCTATCCATGATCTTGTTCCAACCATAGCCGTAGCTACAACCACCGGTTCACTGATAACCATTTATATACACATATGAGAGACTATATATGTATAGTAGATTACTATATAGCTAATAAACTAATCACATTCATATCAAGATCAATATATGAATGTTTTATCATTTTTTTTTAAAATATATGAATGTTTTATCATTATATGAATGTTTATACACCCTGTAATCTCTAGCAATATATACTCACTAAAATATATACTTAGCCAAATGAGCTATTACGTGAGCGGAACTACTTGACCACTGCCATCTCGGCTCTTTGTTGCCTTTTTGTCGCCTTTCCCACGCTTCATCCTCCTCTACCTACACACATTTTCAGACATATGTTTGCAATTAACATTAGTAGAACGCATTATTTCAAACTCGGTAAGATCAAGAAGTTTGAGTGGTCTTAATTACTTACAAATTACAAAAAAAAAAAATGACACTCATTTACGGGAAATTAGATATGATATGAGTTTGGAGAAGAAGAAAATAACGAAGAGATGATTACTTGTTGAAGAGACAAACAAGAAGGAAAGTATTGCCTATGATACTTCCTGATGAACTTCATGAGAGGGGCACGAATGTTTAAAGAAAAGAAGATTATCACTAATGATATCTTTTAAGAACAAAATTTATCACAAGACCAGAAATAAATGCATGGGAACAAAAAAAAATTTTTAGGTCTTTTACCCCTAAATTCAAATTATAGAGTCATCAAACACAAGATAAAAATATATTAAAAGTTATAGCTTTTGCAAAATCTTGGGAGGAAAAACCTAAATTGTGCAAGTTGGATGGTAAAGAGCTTAAACGAAATCTGAAGATGGTTGAAAAAAAAAACAGAATTAGGTTTTATAAATCAAAAAGGACGATTTTATAGTTTTATACGGAATTAATTTTTTTTTTTTAGAGTTAAGTTGATCACCGATAGGCTTTAGTGTTTTTTTGGTTGCGTACAGGTCAGAGCTATATGTTTTTAAAATAGAAATATTATTATTTAACACGTTTTGCTAAATATATAAATCTGTAATTTGTTAACCTCCTTAATTTGGGTTAATTTAGAGGAAAAAAAAAGACAAGAAGATGATAAAATCAAAAGGGTAATGAATGATGATATATTCAATTAAAGTTCTATTCTCAAATATTCAACAAATCATCATCATTTCCATTTTCACTTAGTCAAATTTTTGGTATAATTGGATACAAAAAGGTGTCCCTCGAAGTTGTAACTAACATAATAGCGCAATTAAAGGGTTTCTCTTTTCAATACTTTTTTATGTAAAGTTTGGAACTTTACATTGCAATTGCCTTCAACAGTGATGAACAAATCAAAGTTTCAAACTTTACAATGCAATCGCCTTCAAAACATAATCAAATCAAAATTTCAACTATATGATTGATTTTAAAAAAGTAGAACAGGGGAAAAAATTACCTGTTATAGACATAGGAACAAGACAATGGAGGACGAGATGGTCTAGAAACGGTGACGATGGAGGAAACAG